AGTGGCCGTATAAAGGAGCGCAAGTTTGGTGTGGGATTCGTGGTGGGAGAGAGTCTCCGTTGCCGAGTACTATCATTCACCCCGGTGAATAAACGTCTAGCCACAATACGCATCAAAGCGAGGTTCAGGAACAGAAGGACAATGTGACCAAAGATGAATTTTATGAGTGCTTGGAAAGCACTTATGAGAGCTGCATCCGCCACGATGTCAAAATCGTGCTGGGCGACTTTAACGCCAGGGTGGGCAAACAAGGTATCCTTGGTACTACGGTCGGTAAATTCAGCGTCCACGAGGAAACATCCCCAAATGGGTTGAGGCTGATCGACTTCGCCAGGCCCGAAATATGGTTATCTGTAGTACTAGATTCCAGAATAAGAAGATTCGTCAAGCTACCTGCTTGTCTCCGGATAGAAAAACCACCAACCAGATCGATCATGTTGTGATAGACGGAAGACACGTCTCCAGTGTTTTAGATGTGCGTGCGCTCCGAGGTCCTAACATCGACTCGGACCACTATCTTGTTGCAGCCAAGATTCGCACGCCATCAAACACAAGGAAGGTTCGACGTAGAGAATCTGTAATCACAACAGACAGCCGAACGTACAGCGTACGCACAGCTGCAATCGAAACCATTGGTTTTCGGAAAGTGCAAAAGAAAAGCTGGTACGACGAGGAGTGCCGTGTCGCAGCGAAGAGAAAACAGGCTGCCTACCTCGCAACGTTACGAGCGACCACAACACGTGTGGGATGGGATAGATACCGAGAGTTGAAGAGGAAAGCGAGACGCATTTTCAGACAGAAAATGAAAGAGGCCGGAATCCGTGAGTTCGAAGAGTTTTAGAAGCTGGCCGACAGGGGTAGTGCTCGAAAAATCTACGAAAAAATGCGGCGGCTTATAGGTTTCAAGACCGGAGCCCCCAAAGGTGGTATAGTCACAGATGACCACAGCATATTTAAATTATGGAGGGAACACTTCTCCCGCCTGCTGAATGGCTGTGAACGCACAACGCCAAGAGAAGGCGAACCCGATTCCCTAATCGATCAAGATGGAGCAGACGTTCCATTGCCCGACCAGGAAGAAGTTCTAACAGCAATTACCCGCCTGAAGAACAACAAAGCGGCGGGGACCGATGGATTGCCGGCCGAGCTATTCAAACACGGCGGCGAAGAACTGATAAGGAGCACGCATCCGCTTCTATGTACAATATGGTCGCACGAAAGCATGCCCAACAATTGGAATTTAAGTGTGCTATGCCCAATCCACAACAAAGGAGACCCCATAATCTGCGCCAACTACCGTGGGATAAGCCTACTCAACATTGCATATAAGGTTCTATCGAGCGTATTGTGTGAAAGATTAAAGCCCACCGTTAACAAACTGATTGGACCTTATCAGTGTGGCTTCAGACCTGGAAAACCAATAACCGACCAGATATTCACCATGCGCCAAATCTTGGAAAAGACCCGTGAAAGGAAAATCGACGCTCACCACCTCTTCGTCGATTTCAAAGCTTCTATGGACAGCACGAAGAGGACCCGCCTTTATGCCGCGATGTCTGAATTTGGTATCCCCGTAAAACTTATAAGGGTGTGTAAGCTGACGTTGACCAGCTTCGTCAGAATCGGGAAGGACCTCTCCGAGCCATTCGATACCAAACGAGGTTGCAAACAAAGCGATTCCTTATCGTGCTACTTTTTCAACCTGCTTCTGGAGCAAATAGTTCGAGCTGCAGAACTAAGTAGAGAAGGAACCATCTTCTATAAGAGTGTACAGTTGCTGCATATGCCGATGATATTGATATCATCGGTCTCAACACCCGCGCCGGTAGTTCTGCTCTCTCCAGACTAGACAGTGGAAACAACACAAATGGGTCTGGCAGTAAACGAGGGCAAGACGAAATATCTCCTGTCATCAAACAAACAGTCGTCGCACTCGCGACTTGGCACTCACGTCACTGTTGACAGTCATAACTTTTAAGTTGTAGATAATTTCGCCTATCTTGGAACCAGCGTAAACACCACCAGCAGTGTCAGCCTAGAAATCCAATGCAGGATAACTCTTGCCAACAGGTGCTACTTCGGACTGAGTAGGCAATTGAGAAGCAAAGTCCTCTCTCGACAAACAAAAACTAACCTCTATAAGCACTCATAATTCCCGTCCTGCTATATGATGCAGAGGATGAGTCGACGTTGCAACTTACAAGGCAATCGGCTTGCCAGTCCTTAACTACGTAGCACCAATATGGTCGTCTGAATGCAGTGGATCGCAGATGAGGAAACTTCAGACTTGCCAGAATACTGCACTCCGCACCACGTGGGGATGCCTGTTGATGTCTCCCATAGAACACCTCCACAGTGAGACGCTTATGCTTCTTGTGAAGGAGCTGGGGGCTTGCTACCCCCCCTCATTTGAAAGGTAATGAATGGAGCTTTTGAATAATAGCACGCTTCCCCCCCTAGGACCATGGGGGCTCTAGGGCAGCCTCCTGAAAATGGTGTAAAATCGTACTTTTTCCATACAATTTTCACTAATTATTATAAATTTTATGTATTTTTACGCATAGAGTGACTCTATATTTATTATTTTTATTATTTCAATTAATTGAAGTGGAAATCCACTTTATTTAAATAATAAAAACACTGAAAATTAAAAATTGTATATGTGTCGGTATTAATGCATACAAGTAGTTGAAGTACCAAGATAACCCAACCAACCATTTATACAAGACCCCCTAAATAATAAAATTGAGAATATCATCATCTTTGAAAAAAATTAGATATTATTTTATATAATACTGTTTTCAAAGAAAATTTCAAACGTCGTTGAAAAGCGCCGCAGGCGAAAATTTGGAATAAAAAATCGCGCGATTTTTCCTTTTCACATTTGTTAATACTTTCAACCATCGATCCGAAACGAGTCGTATGTAAAGTAACCCAAATGTATATAACAACTACCATTTTGATTCTTTGGGTTATTACTGTCTTCCTTTTGTGCTTATTTTCTTCGTCGTTTGACAGTTCATATTTAGTAATTTTGCTTACATTTAAAAGAATAGTATAACACGTAATTGAAAGCCGTTTTATTTATTAAATTGTACATAAAATTGCAACTTAAAATTCATAATTTATCATTAATTCAATTAAACATATTTCAAAGAATGTGTGTGTGTTAAATTGGTTAAATTTTTTGCAAGCAGTGCAACAAAAACTTCAAAGGGAGAGAACCATTGTTTGAGCAAATGTCAAAATGTGCGTTTTTTGTTACTTATATCTAAAAAAACAAATTAACATTTAACAATAAATTTACATTTAAACCAAAGTTTAATTCATTGGCTATCCGTGCTATTTAAATTAAAAAGATCCGTGCACGCATTTAAGAGGAATAAGCAGTGAAAAGGAGATACTAAAACGAACCCAACCCTATGTCCTGCATGCAACGAGTCTCCGCATGACACTGACCACCTCTTTGCATGCCCAACCAACCCCAGCCATCTAACACCCTTTTCCCTTTGGTCCGACCGAGTCGAAACAGCATGTTTCCTGGGCCTCCCGTTAAATGACGTCGACGGCAACACTGATAACCCTCACCATCCTAACCGGGACTGATAACCGTTAAAACAACAACATGGCTTTGAAGGCCGCCTACGCAAAAAGGAGTTCTACGCGAAAAAAAAACTTGAAACACCCCGATGTTGGACCAACCAGGGTTCTTTTTTTTATGCGCGGCCGAACTTGATACCCCCCATTCACGGGTAATAAACAGATATTTTGCGATTGACAACTGCAGAAATCTTTTTTTTTTTTGGGTATAATCTATTTTCTTTGTTACTTTAATTTTATTTACAAAAGATGTCGATAAGGTAGCCTGATTCTTTCCAGGCTCTAAATCTTCAGTTGTTATCAAATAACTAGATTTGAATAGGTTTAATATTAACAGAAAACCTATTTTTGCACCATATAATATAATGTAAAAAATGTGTACAACTGATTTAATGAAGTATTAGTGAACATAAAAATGAAAAATATAATTGTAAAATTAATTTAAAATCCAAAAAGTACGTCATTCAAATATTGGTTATTTTCAAATTTAAACGCAAATATCGCGAAAACTCTTGGTTTTCTGCAGCTATAACTATATATATTCTTGATCCGGAGAACCTTCTCCATCCCACCATACCCATTTTATTTTCGTTATCCTGGGACGATATTCTAAAGTTTTCCGTATAAAAGTTAAAATTCATTATAATTAGGAGAAACACGCATTTAAAATTGTCGAATAACTATAATGCAAATATCTCAAAAACCATAAGATATCGGCAAGTACATATACATATATTCTTGATCTGGAGGATCTGCCCTATCCGTACATACCCATTGATACCTGAAATCGGGGGATGCTATTCTCTAACTTTTCCCGTTTAATTTTTATTTGCATGTAACTATATTGTCATTAATTTGAACCGAATGCTAAGTTATTCACTGTTTGATACAAAATACTTTTATGAAAGCGAAATTGTGTATGTGGATATAAAAGTTAAACGTAAAACTAATTATAAATCAAGAAAACATGCATCTTAAATGTTTGAAGTTTGGAACATTAAATGTAAATATATTATAAAAAAAAAAGCATAAATTACTAGCAACAATATAATTCATTTTTTTTTCTCCTTGTGGAGAAATTCATTTACCCGCACATACCCATTTGAAGCCCGAAATCCGGGGTGCTACTCTAAATCGCAACCATTCTTTAAAGCTACTGATTGCCTTTTTTTTGTTATGAAGATCTAATAACAACTTCAATGGACGACTGTCCACTAGCTAACAAACTAGGCTCAATTCCTGTCGATGTATTCTCTAATGCAATATTCTATTGAGATTGCAAATTTCACAGTATATATGGCATGCTTAAACTTTTAATATATCGGGATTCTACTTAATTATAACTCCTTGACGGATAATATACAAATAAAATGCAACATAATAATTCCGCGAGTACATACTCAGCCACAAATAAATGTTGTAAATCGGTTCAAGGGTTTATCGCGGATAAACGCATCACGTTATTTTTATATAAATAGAAGGAAGGGAAGAATAATGGTCCAATCACTTCAATTACATATCAAAAATCACTTATTCTTCATAGACACTTGATCTTATTTTTACATAGTAACATGACGTATACCCAATTTTTACAACTCCAATACACACAACGACTCTAGTCGCAAACTAATCAACGAATCAAGATATTGGCTGCAATTGTGTTTGCAACAATGTACAAAGACACCTTGGCAGACAATTGATCCTAACGGGGCATTCCGACAGGATAAAATCTTTGTCTTACTAACTGTATTGACGTGCCTATTGCCTGTGGAGACTTCACATTGCTTATTGTTTACAATATATGGAACACTAATTAGTTTGCCATATATTGTAAGCAATAAGCTGTCACTTCAGCAGTTTGACGGCGCAGTTTTCATTTCTATGAAAATTTCGACGAGGCAACATATCCCATTTGCACATATGTATGGCGATGGCGTTTTCATTTCGATAATATGAAATTTAGAAGAGCGAGTATTAAGATGTTGTGTTATGTTATAAAAATAAAGCACATTTTGAAAATAACATTATTCTAAAAAATTAATATTTAGTTTAATATTTAAATTACAGAAAAATTATACATATTGGGTTGGGAATGAGCGAAGTCTTAAATTTAATAAACTTACACAAGCATAAATCAAAATATCTTTGCTCATGTTAAATTTATTATTCTAATTGGTATATTTATGTCACAATTATTATATAGTAGTCCATAAATATGAATTATTATTTTTCCCAGAAATACGTTTGTAAAAAAGGATCTTTCTTGTTTTTTGTTATCTTATTTTTCCCAGAAATACATTTGTAAAAAAAAGGATCGTAATATTCTTTTTATTTTCCTCATAAAAGCTACATCAGCTACCTACCCCACGGCATTTCGTAATGTGATAAAATAAGTTTTGCAAGAGCTCAAAGCATGCGCTACATCAGCTAGCCTACGCCATTGCGCAAATGATTATGTTATGATAACAAATGCCCACGTACAGATTTAGCAATGGCAATAGCAATAGTAATTTGACAGTCAATAAGACAGTGCCGTTGCGAGGCATCTCGACAGGATAGAATTTATAGAATACTACCTGCATTGCCGTGACGATTGGCTGTGGAAACTCCACATTGCTCATAGCTTACTATATATAGAATACTATCCAAATTGCCTATGACCTGTCACTTCAGCAGTGCGGCAGCGCAGTTTTCATTTCTATGAAGATTTCGAATAAGCAACATATCCCATTTGCACATAAGCCGACGGCGTTTTCATTTCAGTAATATGAAATTTAGAAGAGCGAGTATTAAGACAGTTGTGTTATATTATAAATCTTAAAATTAATAAACTTATACAAGCATAAATCGAAATATCATTTCTCATTTTAAATTTATTAATTTAATTGGTATATAAAATTTATGAGACAATTATAAGTATAAAAAGATGAATTCTTATTTTTCCCAGATATACATTTGTAAACAAATGGATCTTTATTGATATATTTAGTGCGAGCTGTTGACAGCAATGATCGGTTATTTTGATAACTTCCAGAGATCTTTTCCCATTCACATTATTTTTGAAGAAATATTAACACGATATATCGACAGGCGAAAGTTTATACTAACTATTGCCTATGGAGACACCATATTGCATTTGAAATGCAGTATATGAGAGCGATTCTCTTGCTCTTGCAAGATTGCAGATTGCAAAACTCCTATACTGAAATATACAAGGGCACGAGAGCACCCATTGCAGAATCTTGTGATATATGAACGGCTGATTCATTTAAAATATTGTAAATGACAGTTATGTAAACAAAGAAAACTGTAACAAATATTTATAATTTGAATAGAAATTATAAAATCTATTAAAAACTTACATTCCTCAACAATTTAACGGCGAAATTTATCTTTATGTAAAATGATGGCCAAATAGGGTTGCAATTATATTTTTACGTGCCATTGCACGTAAATAAAATACAAATGTAAAATATGTCAGACCAAAAGCATATTTTACAGCCATTGCAAATATTCTTCAGCGTGTGTTTGCTGTTGCGCCGTTACATTAGGTGAAAAAATCTGCAACTCGTGCACCGTGCAAGGGTTTTGCGAGAGCAAGAGAATACTCTTATGGTGTACAAATTTGAATGCTTACTATTACATGGAATGAACTCATACTTCAGCAGTGTGGCAGATCAGTATTCATTTCTATGAAAATTCCGAAGAGGCAACAGAGTTCAGTTACATATATACCAACGGCAGTTTTATTTCGGTTATTTTAATAGTCGTATACTGTAAGCAGTCTCTGGTCACTATTTGAGACATTTTGAGGTAAAGTCTCAATTTGCGACTAGTTACTATTCACTAAACAGTCTCTATTTGAGACCGGATAGTTAGCAGGTCACAAAACTAAAAAGAACTTTTGACTATACTAATTAGAGATCATCATACTAGAGATCGTTTTTTTCTAAATTGGGAAGGTACTGAAACACGAAAAGGTTAAAAATAAATCAACGTCAACGTATTTTTATTTTTATTGGTGATTATGTTATTTGACTATGGTATAGAAATTTAATTTTTGTTACCGACATATTTGTTTACATAGAAGTGTAAAAACATCTCTGATTAACAAAATGTAATAGATTTTGTGACTATCACTTACAGAATAGCAAAATCTTCTCAAGTCACAAAAATTGTCTCTAATAATATAAATTGTTTAAGACGGTTGTATTAAATAAAAAAATTAAATTCGAAATAATAAGTAAATACATTTTCAAAATTTAAAAAATTAATATTCAGTTTACTGGTGTTATTTTTCAGAGAATTTAAACCAATAAACTTAAAAATGAAATCTTCTTCTTCCTAATTGACGTACACCGCTTACGCCATTATAGCCGAGTTAACAACAGCGCGCCAGTCGTTTCTTCTTTTCGCTACGAGGCGCCAATTGGATATTTCAAGCGTAGCCATGTCCTTGTCCACCTGGTCCTTCCAAAGGAGTGGAGGTCTCCCTCTTCGTCTGCTTCCCGCGGAGGGTACAGCGTCGAATATTTTCAGAGCTAGAGTGTCTTCGTACATTCCGACAACATGCCTTAGCCAGCGTAGCTGCTGTTTTTTAATTCGCTGAACAATGTCAATGTCGTCATATATCTCATACAGCTCATCGTTCCATCGAATGCGATATTCGCCGTGGCAAACGCGAAAAGGACCATAAACCTTCGTAGAACTTTTCTCTCGAAAACTCGCAACATCGACTCATCAGTTGGTGTCATCGTCCAAGCTTCTGCACCGTATAGCAGGAGGGGAATTATGAGTGATTTCTAGAGTTTGGTTTTTGTTCGAGTAGTCGCACGATAGAGAGTCGCCTTGTCTGAAACCTCGTTTGGTATCGAATGGCTCGGAGAGGTCCTTCCCGATTCTGACGGAGCTTTTAGTGTCACTCAACGTCAGCTGACACAGCCGTATTAGTATTGCGGGGATTCCAAATTCAGACATCGCGGCATAAAAGCAGCTCCTTTTCGTGCTGTCGAAAGCAGCTTTGAAATCGACGAAGAGGTGGTGTGTGTCGATTCTCCTTTCACGGGTCTTTTCCAAGATTTGGAGTATGGTGAATATCTGGTCGGTTGTTGATTTTCCAGGTCTGAAGCCACACTGATAAGGTCCAATCAGTTTGTTGACGGTGGGCTTTAATCTTTCACACAATACGCTCGATAGAACCTTAGATGCGATATTGAGGATTCTTATGCCACGGTAGTTGGCGCAGATTGTGGGGTCTCCTTTTTTATGGGTTGGGCATAGCACACTTAAATTCCCATCGTTGGGCATACTTTCGTTCGACCTTATTTTACAAAGAAGCTGATGCATGCTGCTTGTCAGTTCTTCGCCGTCGTGTTTGAATAGCTCGGTCATCAATCCTTCGGCCCCCGCCGCTTTGTTGTTCTTCATGCGGGTAATTGCTATTCGAACTTCTTCCTGGATCCTGGATCGTCTGCTCCATTGTCATTGCATTCACTGCCATTCAGCAGGCTGGAGAAGTGTTCCCTCCATAATTTAAGTATGCTCTGGGCATCGGTGACTAGATCACCTTGGGGGTTTCTACAAGAGTATGCTTCGGTTTTGAAACCTTCTGTAAGCCACCGCATTTTTTCGTAGAATTTTCGAGCATTACCCCTGTCGGCCAGCTTTTCAAGCTCTTCGTACTCACGCATGTTGGCCTCTTTCTTTGTCTGTCTGAAAATTCGTCTCGCTTCCCTCTTCAACTCTCGGTATCTATCCCATCCCGCACGTGTTGTGGTCGTTCTTATCGTGGCGACGTAGGAGGCTTGCGCTCCTTTATATGGCCACTGTAGTAAATACCGCAAGGGCCTACTTGTCTATGTCCTTGTCCCGTCCATCGCATTTCTTGGACGGCGGTGATGTTAGCCTTTATTTTTACGAGGACATCAACCAGCTGGGAAGCGGCACTTTCCCAATTAAGGGACTGGACATTCCAGGTGCATGCCCTCATAGTCATAGTCCTTAATTCGTTTACCATTGTCGTCATCAAAAGGGGGTCACTCATCCGAGGCTTGTTGTTTCCCTTCCTGGTTTTTTTTACGTGGCGGGTACCAAACCCAGCACACAACCCTATGTAGGGGATATTTCGCCTTCTCACTTTAGCTCGCCTTCAAACGGATGTTCTTAGGTTACCCAGAGTTACTCCATCCTCCATCTCGCTCTAAACAATGGAAAATATCGTATGCTGCCTTGTTCTAACAGAATACATACATTTGTTAGCAAATCTCTTTACATTATGTCACGGGTAACAAATTCTTTTGTTAGCGCATAGCTTACCTACATATGTGTTATGGATAACAAAAAGTATTTAATAATAAAATCATATTTAATTAAACATAAGATTAAGTTTATTTCAGTATCAAAATTATAATTCTAAAAATTCATATTTGTAAAAGCAAAATTAGAAACTGCAACTTAAAACTAGTATATATAAGTAATAATAGGAGGCATTCAAATATATAGCATTAGTAGGGATTCCTTCTCCTTGCGCCCCTCTAAATTGTAATGGTACATTACATCGTTTGAAAACATACCATGCAGTACGCCATCCACACTACCTTTTGCGCCTTTTGTCTTCAATATTAGCCGCATCTGTTATAAAAAAAATACAGTAAATTATATTACAATCGCATAATATTTAAAAGCGAAATATTTACCATAGCATCCGTGCTT